ACAAATTTGTTTTAAATAGAAAAATGTGATGCTCACAGTGTTCTTGAGAAGACGATAAGCTGTACTTAATCCGATACCAGCTTCCTCGGAATTCGGATTGATTTGTAATGCAGCATGATAACATCTTCTTGATCGCTCTATGTCGTTACCATGTTCGCGATAATAATGTCCTAAGTAAACCATACATTCCCAATTATTGCGATCTGTTTTGACGCCATTTAAAAATGCCATCAGACTGTGGTTATAATCTCCCATATCCCAATATATTTTACCAAACAGCAACCAAGCTTCAGAATTTTCTAAAGCTAGCTCGAGAGCGTTAATAGCGTCTTCGTATTGTTTGTGCTTTTGTAAATGCAACGCTTTAAGAGTAAAAGCTTGAAGTTTAGTTTCATCCTGAGACTCCAAGTTACTTAATATAACAGTAGCATCAGGTTCATCCAATAATATATTTGTGCGTGCATGAATTACTTGTAATTGTATGGAAGGCTCAACACTTAACAACTGAATACAAAATTATTATATATCAATAAATATCGAGAGATTTATAATATTTATATTAAATACTCACTTCTTCGCACATCTGACGTGCTTCTATCAATTTTTGTTTGTTACTACTTCTACTTATTGCTTCAAGTAATCTCAATTTGATTCCATGTTGAAATTTGTCCTTTAAACTAGATTTTATTAACCATAGTGCTTGTCTAGATGCATTCTCGGTTTCTTCCCAGCAGTATAGTTTGGAATATATTTGACTCAACATTAACCAAGCATAAAATGATTGTGCATTCAATGAGATAACTTGCTTCAAACAATCGCATGAGTCAATTAATTCATCTGTTCTTTTCAAACATACTGCCTTTGCAATGAATGCAGCCTCCGAATTTGCATTTATCTTTAAAAGTGATTCATAAAACTGAGTTATATCAATTTCAAGTTTAGTTTCACATAATGCCTCCGTTTCATAATAAATACGGCATAACCATTCTGTGCAAAGAAAATGATTATATTGTACGAGAATATAAAAATACAAGTTCTGATAAAAGAATTAAAAAATAATTTACCTAAAGGATAAGCATCCTGTGGAAATTGAGTATGCATGTCTTGAGCAGCTGTTAGCAACTTTCTAAGTTTATTTGAATCATGTAGTATCTTTAAATATTTTTTGTAATACTGTTGTCTATTCACAAGATCTATGTCTTTTATTACAGACTCTAACACATTTTCGTAAAGCTCCTGATACTTGTTTATTCTATTAGGATACTCTGATAAAATCCACACTAGAGTCTTATCAATCAGATTTATCTTCTCTTTAGTAGAAATTTCTCGTAATGCGCTCAATACGTTCAGTGCTTCGAACAATATGTCATCATTCTTGATACGCAAGACAATCTCCGAAATTTTATTCACAAAATGTGTGAATTTAGGAGATTCGCTAAAACATAAATGTTTATCCTTTTTTCTGATCTTTATATATAGTTCAAGATGTTTTAAAAATTGTAATGATATCCTACCTATCTAACTGCAACAATTTGCAATAAGCTAAAGCTAACTTTTCCCAATTATCATGGTCCTGTGGAGCTTTTTCATAGTATGCTGCTAAACCTTGCCAGGCTAATGGATTATTGGGTTGTACCTCCACAGCCTTGTAAAGGACTAAGGATACTTGTGATTTAAATTCCTCCACCTCTTGCATGGAACGGGCTAAGAGTACTAATGCCGCATAATTGGTTTTGTCTTTTTTTAAAACTTTTTTGCATTTCTTCATAACTTCCAGATATTCATTTTGCTTGAAAGACTCACGGGCTTCCTTCAATAAAATCTTTATGTCGTCCGACATTTTGCTCTCTGATAAAATAAACAAGAAACATTATTGTAGTGCTATGGATTTTTTGCTTTCAATATTTTAATCTATACACAAGGTAACAGCAATAACAATTGAATAACGTATAATCACAAAAATAATTTATAAATTATCATGATGAATATCAAAACATTTTGGATGATTGTTATCTTACTTTCAATTCAACTTTACAATCAATTATAGGTATGAATCGAGTTTGTTAAAATGTAACGAATACTCGTTGCAAAAAGCGTCAAACGACTCAAATCACGAAAACGTAATCATCACGTTGCTTGCACTTTTGACATTTGGAATCTTCGCTTCTTCTCCTTACATCTCAGTACATATATGTCTCGTTTTAAATGCAAAAATTTTTGGAAATTTCAAGCAAAGCGAACAGACCTATTATTGACCTACAATTCCGATTTAACGAAACGCGACTTGCGAGAGTTGCGAAAGTTGCGAGTACGACACAGTGCGACAGGAACTAGGGCTACGTTCCTCTCCGAGGGAAGATTTTACTCGATAGTATACGTCACGTGTACTATATATTTCAAGTAAAATTTTCCTCGGAAAGGAAGTTTTGGAACGTAGCCTAGGATGCTTTAGGAAGCTTACATGCGCGCGCGCCCTGATGTCGCGTACATGTGCGTATGTACCTGCTGTGGGAACGTGTGGTGTGCGAACGTAGGAGTCGGGAGGTGCGGAGGTAAAAAGCTGGTAGATCCGCCAGGAGGTCACCCGATGGATTCGCCCCTCTCGTCGTGTTTTCGTCCGTCACTCGCCTTCCTTTCGACATCCGCGCTGCTCTAGGTTTACACCACCCTCTCTTCCCCTTTACATCGCCGCGTATCTCCCGTGTTTCTAACCTAAGATCGTCTCCACTTACACGCGAGAGAGATGAATGCCATGCTCCTTTGATAGAGGCATCACGTCCTCACCGACATCATCGACACGCACCGGACGGATCCCTAGCAACCCCTATCACATCGGGGGACCGTCGTCGTCGATCGACCAAGAAAGGCTGACGACCGGGAACGGCGCTCGTCCCAAGTATAGACCCCTCCCCTGTCTTACGTTTTACGCAGCTTCTCGTAGTCCCTTTTGTCGCATGCAGCTTGTTGTGAATCCGCGTCGCGTCGTTTACGAGGATACATGGGGTGTGGCTATCAGCTCGTCGTTATCAGTGTATCTTCGTTCGATCGCAATATTTTACAATATGCATGTTGAGTTATGAATCGCAATCACATGTTTACGGTGCGGAGGATTCAAGGTTAGGTTGAATCCTCGCGGTGATAATTAGCCGTTCCTCGGATTTTCATTTGCGAGTTCCATCTGACTTCTTTTCCCTTTTTTTTCCTAACCTATTTTCAATCAGCTCGAAATTCCGATCTCTCGCGATAGGATGACGAGATAGCGACACGCTGTGTTTTTCCATTAAAATTGCATGTTAAAATCATGATATAAGAATATTCTTACGTGTAAAAATATTCTCACATCACGATCGAAATTATCTATTTGTGTGCGAAAGTAACAAAATGAAGTAAAAGATATCAGTTTGTTTCCAATCATGCTAATGGCTGATCTTTGTGTTTAGGTACAGTACACTATACCTATAAACCCAACATTACGTATAGTAATGTCTGTCCCTCCTTCATCCTCCAACAATATATCTGACAATAATAAGCTAGGCGGTGCTAGTCCTAGTCCAATTGAAGGAATCGAGGGGGTTCCAGGACCAAGTTCCTTGGATCCTATGCATTCAGTGTTGCCACAAGACGAGGAATCCGAGGATTATGGAGATGATGAGGAGGAGGGTGATGAAGAGAGTAGCGAAGGAGAAAGTGAAGTAAGTCAGCATCAGTTTGGTTTGTATATTGTTTTTTTTTTTTTTATTGAGCAAGCTGAAGTGGTAACCTTTCCTTTAGTTTTATTTTTGTAAATAATTTTAAATTTTGTAAATAAGGTAATAAATAACTTCCTTCTTATTAACTTTATGGCTACAAAGTAAACTGTCTTTCTAATTAACGTTTTGTCGTTTAGATTAGCGATAGTGGATTGTTCTGCGATACCGAGTGTACAGCAGAAGTTGAGAGCAACAATTGCCAGTCACCTATATCACAGTCTCAAGTGGTTCTCTCAGAACAAGTTCAGAGTCCAGTATCGCATAATTGTGTGCCATCGGATGCTGTTCAGCCTCAGAGAAAGCGAAAAAGTGAAACGGAATGTTGTCTACCTTGTAAAAAACTTAATCCAGAAGAAAAGTTTCATACAATGTATGTATTTCTTGTTATATAAATATAATATAATTATACATAAGTATATGTTTTTACATTTTAATATCTCCCTTCTGTTTTAGGACTGCAAGAAAGCTAGATGATAAAGGTAAACACGTGAGATGTGTCATTCCTACTAAGGACAATCCTCCTCCAGAAATGAACAGTTGGCTTCTGCAATTTCAAGTATTTATATATAAATAATATTAATATTTTTAGTAAATATTGTAATAATAACAAAAAATTATATCGATAGAGTTCGAGAAAATAATGTGATCAATTATATCCAGGTCTTTTTAAAAAGTAAGTGAAAATGATACTTATTGCAGAGATGGTCAAACGCGGAAAGGATGTTAGCAATAGACGAACTAATAGAGAGATGCGAGCCCACGCAGGTGCGTCACATGATGCAGGTGATAGAGCCGCAGTTTCAACGAGATTTTATATCGCTATTGCCGAAAGAGTTGGCATTGTCGGTATTGGCATTTCTGGAGCCGAAGGATCTCCTGAGGGCTGCTCAAACCTGCCGAAACTGGCGATTCCTAGCTGATGACAATCTACTGTGGAAAGAGAAGTGCAAGGCAGCTGGTATAGAGGACTTGAAAGATCTACCACCGCCAAAACGAAAGAACTGTCGAAACAGTAGCCACTCGTCGCCGTGGAAGCAGGCTTACATGCGACAGCACAATATTAAAATGAATTGGAGAACGAAGCCGATCCGCACACCGAAAGTGTTGAAAGGTCATGACGACCATGTTATTACTTGCCTTCAATTCTCTGGCAATCGGATAGTCAGTGGTTCAGATGACAATACGCTCAAAGTATGGTCCGCCGTTACAGGCAAGGTAAATTGTAAATGCGTAATGATACGATATTTAATTATTAGCAATAACAGAGGAGATTATGTATATCCTATATTTTTCACAATATTATAGTGCTTACGGACATTAGTTGGGCATACCGGGGGTGTATGGTCTTCGCAGATGTCCGGCACAATTGTTATCAGTGGCAGTACAGACCGTACTTTAAAAGTGTGGAACGCGGAGACTGGCCAGTGTATTTATACATTGTATGGTCATACGTCAACAGTTAGGTGTATGCATTTGCATGGTAACAAGGTCGTCAGTGGTAGTAGAGACGCGACACTAAGAGTGTGGCAGGTGGACACAGGGGAGTGCTTACATGTGCTCGTGGGGCATCTAGCGGCGGTTAGATGTGTGCAATATGATGGAAAGTTAGTGGTCAGTGGTGCCTACGACTATATGGTTAAAGTTTGGAATCCGGAACGTGAGGAGTGCCTTCATACTTTACAAGGACATACTAACCGTGTTTATTCCCTCCAGGTAAGTGCATTATATGTGTTACTTTTAAATTTGCTTTTCATCCTCTTTCGGGATTGACAAAATGTCCATTTGCCGTTTCCTGTTAGTTCGACGGTGTGCACGTTGTTAGCGGATCATTGGATACGAGTATAAGAGTGTGGGAGGTAGAAACAGGTGCTTGTAGACATACTCTGATGGGCCATCAATCTCTTACCTCGGGGATGGAGTTGCGCAATAATATCTTAGTATCAGGCAATGCTGATTCTACCGTTAAAGTATGGGATATTGTTAGCGGTCACTGCCTTCAAACTCTCTCCGGTCCGAACAAACATCAATCGGCGGTTACTTGCCTTCAGTTCAATAGCCATTTTGTGATTACGTCCTCTGACGATGGTACAGTAAAACTCTGGGATGTTAAGACTGGTTTGTATTTTTTATCACCATTTATTTTCAGTTAGAAAGCGCATCAATTGTTAAGAACAACATGCGTTGTGTTCACAGGTGATTTCATTAGGAATCTAGTTGCTCTGGAAAGTGGTGGTAGCGGCGGTGTTGTGTGGAGGATTCGAGCGAGTGATACGAAACTAGTGTGTGCAGTAGGTAGTCGTAACGGTACCGAGGAGACAAAACTGCTTGTCCTCGATTTCGACGTTGAGGTAAAATAGTGAGCTCCACCACTTGGATCCAATCGCTCCCTTTGTACGACTTCTGTACATATTTTCAATTAAGTAGTCTAAAAATTAATCCACGCTGTACAATGATTTATGTATTACATGGTGTGATTGTGATAAGACTGTGTACGCGACGTAAAATTGGGCAAAGTTTTTGCAGGGGTCGGGGGAGTGGGAGGGAAGGAAAAAAACTGAAGGCAATAAGAGAGTTATCTTCAGATGGATCAAAGTGCCCGTTGAGAAAATTATAATTATGTCGTTTTGTCGGAGCGCTCGCGCATTGTTGTGGTGTACAAACGTAAGATTTATAAGACTCGTGAACTTATTAGAAAGGGGGAGAGGGGAGGGGGGGAACGAGGAGCTTATCAGTGTACTTCTGAATTTTCGCTGTTATAACGATTCAGTAGAATCATCGACAATGCAAAAGTAGCAAACATCCCTAATGAGATTCATTGTAAGTATAACAGGTTTATTATGTGGCCATTTAGGAGCATTTGTCAACGATGGCAGACGAAATCGAGGCGACTGAGACATACTGAAACTGCAAGGCAAAATGACATTAATCGAAGAATCTCATACCTCCTGGAGCAAGAAAATCGACGACAATTCACGTCTTTCGGAGAGATCATACAGATCTTTTTACGAGAAATTTCAAACGTTTGTTATATATTGCAACATTTTGTCAAACTATCAGCTTCAATATTTCCTGATCATGTAATTTAGACTTTACTTTCTTATAAACATCGATCTGGTTAAAAACAAATATTTTTATAAATGTTTACAAGTCAATTTTTCATATAATTGACATTTATTGGAAGAGAATGATCTTTCGGCAATTGATTAAAAAAAAATTCGTTGAATTTTCTCTTTTTGCAATTGAAAAGCTGTTTCTTCCAATATTGTTGCATGTTTCACTTCGTTTTAGTGCAATATACAGATATAGCACACTTGTTCGCGTGCAATACAAATTTACAAAACAGTGAACCAGTAGTACAAGCTTATATAGAACAGGATAGTACTTTTTTTAAATCTTTGTTTTTATTGATTAAGATGTTTAAAATGTTCATCAATATCGATTAGACTTGTTAAAGGAAGAATATTTGTATTAGCCAGATCTTCACATTTAGTGTGAATTGCATAATGAAGACTTATAGAAACATTGCATCATTTGTCATTGACGAATTTTATATGGATTCTACTGAATCATGTCATGAACATGAACGACATTATCAGATAATACAATTTGTGCAAATGCATCTTTATTATTGGACCTAGGTTAGACTAGGTGTCGTGTTTATTTGTATATTGCTCAATAGTTTATATTATAAGAATGTGTTACCTGTTGTATCATTTTTTATAAGAAATAGAAAAAAGATGTTGCTGATATTTTAGATTTTGTTTTTTTTTTTTAAATTTATTACAACTGTACACATGTTCTTGTGCTAAAAAACATATTTTGTACAAAATAAATGTTCGATTTCGACCTCTTTCTATATATTGTGAGTATTATCTTGTCATACTATATTATGAAGCGAAAGCGCATTTTATTTTATTATCTTACATAAATAATGTTCAATCACATTTTACAGGCTTTAAAAAAAGTCAAAGGTTGTATTTTATTGTATAAACTAATATCAATGTGCTATGTTTCAACAATGATAATAAGCGTACAACCGTCGCAAATCACTTGGAGCATAGTGTTTTTTTCCCGAAGAGCTTCTCGTTCAATGAAGTAATTTTCACCGCACCTGCAGCGGTAAAACAATGTGTCCTTAAGAGCAGATTCTTCAAGTTCGTGCGGCGTGAGACGCGCGTATACAGGACTATCTTCTTCCTCTAACTGTTCCTGTTTGCAGGCTGCATCATATTTTTTTCTGCACTGTGGATGTCCGAGCACTCGCCAGGCTTCCTTGACGTCATGAAACTGTTGGATATCCACGGCATCATTCTTATCGGGATGAAATTGTAATATGCGTCGATGATAAGCATGCTTAATCTCCTCCTGAGTGGAGTCCTTACTGCAGCCGAGCACTTTGTAGTAATTTAATCGCATCTTCATAAACGCCCTAGAATAGAATACTTCTCTTCTTTGTGGTTAACCTATATATAGCTGTCCACATGTCCAATTGATTCCTCAAGCGTTGTAAGCGTTAAATGAAACGTAGCCATAAATGCATATTGCATTCACCGGACTCAATGGATGCATCCAGAAGCATGATCGCTCACTGAGCGCTCAGTGAGTTCTTACATCTGATTGGTATATTCCATTAGATCTAAAAATATAGACCAAACAGGTACAAGAGCTCAATGAGCGCTCAGTGAGCGATCGTGTTTCTGAATGCACCTAATAGTCGACTGAACGCTGCTATTGGTTTATTTTTCTGCATCTAAAAGTCTTAGGGGCTCCGCACAATAAAAGGAACAGAGAATTTCAACCTATCAGAAATCATGTATTATGGAATACACAATTTCTGATAGGTTGAAATTCTTATTCTCTGTTACATATTCCTTTTATTGTGCGGAGCTCCTTCAGCCTTGTGTCTATGATGCTAGAAGTCGGTCCGAGGCCTCGATTGAAGAAAGAATTGACTAATCGCATTGATCATGTGACTAAATTGTTCAAATGTGATTTGTTCATTCTTTCATTGTTCGAGATCTCGATTTATAGCATCATGGACATCAGGCTTTAGACCTGGTTGCATCAATGTTACTTTGACTTTAAACGAGACTTAAAGCTCTATCTGTTTTAAAGCGAAAGAGGGACAGAGACAGAGATAGTTTTAAGCTTTGCTTAAGTCAAAATACCATTGGTGCAACTGGGCCTTAGAAAAATACATTAATAACAATGAGCTCATTCAATTGACTCAACTATTGAGCGAGTTCAAGTCGACAAAGTGGCTAGGTCTGCTCGCCGAGCAATTCAAATAATGGGCGCGTTCAAGTTGACAAAGCGGCCGAGCAAATGAGCATAATTGATTGTTACTTGTAGATTCAACCAATCATATTCAATTGCTTGGTAAGCATGTCTAGTCGCTTTGCCGTCTTGAACTCGCTCAATGATTGATTGGATTTACAAAAAAACTTATGTTCATTCGCTCGGCAAGCAGATCTAATCTTTTTGCAGACTTGAACTCGTCCATTGAGTTCGCTGAATGTGCCTAATAAGGGTATTCACACAAACTTACAGCCGCATAAACGTATACATGAAGAAAATAATAGCGGAGAGCACAGACTCTTGCATAATGTATAATATGTAATGCATAAGAAAATGTACCAATCGAAGTCCTTTATTTCCTTCCTTTCCATAAAATAAAGAACTCTGATTTGTTCAATTTCTTATGCTTCGTATGATGTGCGTCATGCAAGAGTTTGTGCTCACCGCTTATCCAGTCACATTTTACGTACAACTTTGTAAAATAAATGCGATTGGATAATTTTCTTTATATGTTTATGCGGCTATGCAAGTTGTGTGGATATATCATAAGGTGTTTCGCTTCCGAGATGCAAAGTGTTGACCAATCAAACCACAATTAAGAACACGGCTGTCGATGGATCTGTCGCGTTGCATGCACTTTTTGCATTCAGTAGCTTCACTTTCTTTTCAATGTTAGAATACTTATATATTTATCTCGTTTAGGTGCAAACATTTTTAGGGATTTCAAGCAACGCGAGCAAACCTGATAAAGCAAGTTACTAGCGATTTCAACTGCTAGGGAAATTATAGTTTTAAAATACACAACATGCATGATTGTAGACTTATACCGCGATTTATAAAGTTCTTCAAACACAAAACAATAAGAGCGAGAGAGAGAACACGCACGCACGCACGCATGCAATAGCGATTAATCAAATCCGTACACTGTTTATAAAATTAATTTTGATTTAGGCACTAAATTAAACTTGATTTATTACCTGAAAAATTTGATAGATATTGCAGGATATAATTTTTGGAGGATTGAAATTAAGAGATACTTGTTTATATCGTTAAAATTAAGAATCGGTTAAGATATTTTATTAATTCACAACGATGTCAGACTTTTCATCGTTTTCATACGGAAATCTTGTCACGGTCAGATCTCGATTGCACTCGCGGACAATAACGAAAGAGAAAGAGATGAACAACAAGACAAATGTACTTTCACAGTTATTTTTACATTCAATCGTCTAGATTCAATGATTGCGATAAACATTAAAACCTGAAAATTGCCAACGTCTCTCCATATTTGCGCCGATGCCGAACAATTCTTGTTTGAAGACCTGTGGAAAACGTTGCATTAAAACTTCAACTTCACTTGGTTTAATGCCGGGCTCCATTTTCTGCAGATAAGACCACAAATAATCCACACTTGCACCAAATGGATGGATATGCAGAAATGTCGCTATAAGTCCTGCAACGCATGTTATATATTAGCAAAGTTACAACTGACATTGTTTTAAAATCATTTTCCAATTGTTTCTAAAATTTTTATATTACCAATAAGTTTAGCATCCTTCTGGGTGACTTGCACAAAGTTAGAGGTGAGAATGTGTTGCTTCGGTGTGCGTGGCTCCTCGCTAATATCGTCATCCTTGTCAAGTGTGATAATCTCACTTTCTCTAGGCTCCTCCTTCTTTGTGGCATTCAGCTTGACGGTTAAGTCCTTGATCTTCTGATCGTCCTGCACCTGCTGTTTATGCGACTGCATCAATTGTTCTTGCATACCTTTCAGCGTTTGCTGCAGCATTTTCATTTGTTTCTCCTTTCCCTCCATTTCGGCTTTTGTTTCTGATTTCAAAAGATCCACCTATAAAGATTTGTAATTAGAAACTTTTCAAAAATTCCCCCGGTGTTAACAAATCGATTCGCATTAATACACACTTCATTCTTGTACGCTTCCAACTGGCATCTCAGACTGTCGTTTTCTTCTTTGAGACTCTGCAGTCTCTCGACGTCCTCTTGATTACCATCCAATTGATTGCGTGTTTTCTTACGTTGAGGTTCCTCCTCCGAGTCTGATACATCCATCTCACCTTCACCTTCAATTAGACTATCTTCTAGCTGTACCGCTTTTATTTCCTGTCATTACGAATAACAAAAATTATAAAATGCTCCAAATCATGACCATTGTTTTTTCACACAAATGCATGCAAAGTATGTAATTTCCTATCTGCCGTTCAAACAATGGTAATTTAAATACATCCCTAAATGTGGCTGGTTCTATTGTTTTTTCTTTTTTTTTTTATTAAATACTTTTTATACAGTACTGACTTTTAAAATGTAGTTTCGTACATTTCTGTAATTCAGAGTTTAGGCACGATACCGCATACGATTTTGTCTCAGTTTTCATTTCAGGAGTGTTTCAGGACTTTGCTCGCCTTTTCAGAATAATTTGGGCTTACCTGATTGTAAGAAGCAGATGCAGCTCTGAAGTACAGAAATAACAAGTATTGTATATTGAGTGAACGCTGTTCGAAAAAAGTAAGGCATATCCATGCTGGATAGTCTGTAGTTGCTTTTCGATCCGAAAGTGCTAATCTCGTATTACCTTCTGTTCCATATGTTGTTCTTAATGTTGTGCGTGTTGTTGCCGACAGGATTTATCTGCCATACTGTCACGGCATTCCACGATAAAGTATCGAATTATAACGCCCGAAGAGAAGCGTGTGTCTGACCGATTTCTTTTTTTTTTATAGCAGGCGACTCGACTCTTTTCTCAATTGTCACTTACCTGTGATATCTTAAAAATACAATTTGCAAAACAACCGTGTTTGGAGATATCGTGCAAACGCGCAGAGGAGCATATTGCGACAGAGAAGATTCTGAGATTATTTTAAGTTACGCAAGAAAAAGAGGAAGTATACAGAAGACACGCTACTAGCATGTGAGAGTGCGTTACATACATACCGAGGATTGTTTCTTCCACATTTCGATGTTCTTCCTCTGCGCCTTAGTGAAGTGATCCCAGACTTTCTTGTGGCTGGCCGCAGTAAAGACTCGTTCGATCTGACTGACTGTTGATGACATGTGGTCGCATGTTGCATACAAAAAAACACAACAAATCCTCCGTTGTATACCTTTTGCTTGAAACTCTAAGCTCGGTAGTTTCGTCTATGCTTTTAGTACTCATTACGCATACTCATTATATTAAACGTTTAGTTATATCATGATATTCCTCGACGGGAACGATCCCTCCTTTAATAATCAGAGCATGTTTTTCGTACATATGTACAGCTACGGAGTCTCACAGAGTCTCACGTAGATTGTGCCGTGTGTTGGAGCGCATCTAATCTAACGTAAAGTTGGTTTCACCAAATATTCCGCTCTCATTGTACGCCTTTCCACCATACTGCGGATAATGTAATTCCGAAGACTTGCAATTTGCGGACTTCCTATGTTAAGGACTATTTTGAACAACAACGAATATGGTCTCGCGCGTTATTAAACGTTCGAATGATACATTACATTACACATATATGAACACTTGATACATGTATAAAAGTCTCAATCTGCAGTTCAAAATAATCTTTCAACAATGGATGCCCAGCCCATCACCCTTATTCCTTAGCATTGCCAAGCATGCAACTTTCAAGTACACTATGACTCTATGAGATAGAATTTGCGATAAATCGGCTTCGTTCGTTGGTTTTGATGGATCCTAAGTCCGAGAAGATAGGATTTTTTCACCCACCTTATCCTCGCCTATTATCTCTGATCCTTCCTACCGAGTTGCCTCCAATTGTGCATTGACCACAAACAGAATTCATAGAAGAATTCGCCATGATACACTTGAGAGATTGCTAAAATTAGTGACGAGACAGAGAAGTACTTCTTCGTAGATATTAAGAGTAGGTTTTACATCAAGCGTATCACTTGATATGCAAAAGCCGGTTTTCAGAATATCATACGTTGAGATCGACAAGCTTAACATTCGATTTGACTTTGTACCTGATTATAATCGGTTGTTGTACCTTAATGTCACGAATCATTTTACTTAATTATCACGTAACGATGTAACATACCTTCGTAACTGGTTTAAGAAAAATCTCTGCTTTTTATCGGAACTCAATACGTGGTACAAGGATTCGTCATACACACAGTGTGAAGAATGCAATGAATACCGCTGTTGTTACTTCGAGATTACGAACGAAATAATCACGATTTTTGTTGCGTTTACT